ATTAAAATTATACTATTGGAAGCATAAAATACACATCACTGGCGTTTTGTATCACACTGCTATATATTATTATGTAATGCATTGCAGCTGCGGTAATGCTGTAATGTTATAGTTTACACTTATATTCTAAGAAAGTCAGAAGTCTAAGGGTCCAAGAATGCCGTTTCTAAACAAAGGAAGAGGAAAAAGAGCAGAAGGAAAGGGAAAGAGGAAATACAAAAAAGGGTGTGCATTTATATAGGGTATATTTATAGAGAGTTGACTGTAATATAATAATCATAATTAGTAGGTATTGTTAACTTTTTATTTAATCTGTAAATTTAAAGTAATATTAATTTAAAAATACTTTTTTTTATAATAATTTATTATATATTTATCTTTAAAAATTCAATTAATTAATTATTTTTTTTTTAATTTTTACTTAAAAATTTATTATAAAAAGAATTAATTTTAATTTTAATAATTATTTTAAAATATTTAAAAATAATTAAAAAATAATTTTAAATAATTAGGATTATTTTTTAACATAGGCAGTGAAATAGGTATATAAGAAAATTATTAGCTATTTTAGAAAGCGAGATTTGTATTTTAAACAAATTATTAATCTAAATTAATATTTTTTCTTGTAATTTTATTTAAAATTACCTGTAAATTTGTAGACAAAACTATTAAAAAATAATTAATTTTATAAAAATTCTTAATTTTTTAAATTTTTAGTTATTAAACTTTGATTTTAAGTTTTTTTTTTACAAAATAATTTTAGCATTTTTTATATAAAATTCAATATAAAAAAAAATTACTATTTAATTTTATTATATATAAAATAATAAATAATAAAATATAAAAATAATATAAAATATATAAATATAATTTAATTGTAAAATTATATTAAATTTTTAATAAATAATAAATATAAAAAAAATATAAAAAGTTAATAATATTAAGATTTTACAAATGATAAATTTTATATAATTAAATATTAATATATTTTAAAAAAATTATTTAATATAATATTATATAGAAAAATTACTAAAAAAATCAGACATTAAAAATTTTTTTAATAAAATTTGATTTTTATTATATTTTAATTTTTAATATTATTAGATTAAAATAGAATAAATTTTTAATTTTAATCAAAAATTTTTAAAGTTTGATTTATCTAACAAATTTCTTATATATTAATAAATATATAAATTTTTAATAATTCATATTTTAATATAATGTTTTTTATTATATAATTAAATTTAAAATTCATTTAAAATAATATTATATATATATTATATTATTCTTTAAAAATTTTTTAAAAAAAAATTATTTATTATATAATATATTTAAATACACATTATTTATATTTTTTTTTAATCTTATATTAATATTTATAAATATATAGTTAGAAATAAATTTAAGATTTAATTTTTTAATTTATTAATAAATTAATAAATATTATATATATATGATATAAGAAGTCTATACTTAACAATATAAATGAAACATTTAAAAATTTTTTAACTTGTTAAAAAAATAAAATTTAGAAAAATAAACTGATAACTTCATTCTTTAAAATAAGCTCTATTAAATTACCAGTTAGTTTTTTAAAATAAGTTCTATATAAAAGTTTTAGACATTTAAATTTGAATAATTTTCATATGATTGTTCTAAATTTAAAACATATATTATTAATTGAAATTTATGATAATTCAAGCCAGTATTATAATAATTAAACTTGAATTATTATAATTTTAAATGATACACAAAAAAAAATGAATTAATATCTCATTTTTTATTAGTCAATTATCAATCATGTGATATAAAATTCACAAAAAATTTTAAAACATTATTAAGTTAAGACTTTCAGTACTATATATTTAAAATAAATTTTTATAAAAAAAAAATTTATTAAAATTTTTATATATTATAATATTTTAAATAAAAAATTATTATATTATTATATTATTATTCCTTTAATTATTTTATCTATAAATTTATAAGTAATTTTATTTATTAATTAAAATCATTTTTAATTATTTATAAATATTTTTAAAATATATTATTAATTTTATGATATTTTTTAAAAAATCAAAAAAAAATGTAATTTTTAAAGATAATATATAATAAATTATTATTAAAAAGAATTAATTTTTTAAACTCATATATCTTGTTATTAATCAATCTTAAAATTATAAAAATACTATTTTTTAATAGTTTTAATAATAAACTAAATTTTTTTTTAAATAATTATTACATAATAAATTATTTTTAAAAATTAAAAAATTGAAACATTAATATATATTGATAATTATTAATTTTAAAAATTACTATTAAATATATTTTAATATAATAAATCTAATAAATTTTATTTTATCTTTTTTATAAAAATTTTTAAAATATTTTTTGAATAATTTATATTTATTATTTAAGAAATAAATATCTATATTATTTTATTAAGTATTTATTATATGAGAAAATTTATTTTTTACCCGGGTGATTTTCACCCTATATTCACATGATCGGCTAATCAATAAATTACGTTAGAGATCCAGATAAGTCACGTTAAATTTTCAATAATAATAAATAAAAAAAATAGCTGCGCATAAAACTCTTTGCTTTCTAAATTATAACGATTCTTTTCTAACAATAACGAAGGGTTTTGTAATGAAGGGTAGAGTTTTATACTATTTGTCTCTAATTTTTTTGCTACTAGAGTTTGAAAAGAGAAGTTGTTTTTTTTTCCAATCTGCAAAGGGTTTAAATTTGAAGGATTTTTTCTTTAGAGATTCGAAGTCTTTTGTTATTCCTCCAGCATTTTTTGTTCTTTATATTTTTTTTTGAAGAGAGAAGTTTGAAAATCATTTTTCTTTGAAGTTCTCTTTACTGGTGTTGATAATTTGTTCCTTTCTTTTGAGTTTTTTTTCTTCAAAGTTTTTTTTTCTTTGGAGTTTTTTTTTTCCTCTAAAAATTCTTTTCAATTTCTTTGAAATTTTCTTGACTAGTGGTGTTCCTTAAAGTTCTTTCTCTGAAGTTTTTTTTTTCCTTCAGAGTTTTTTTCTCCCTCCAAAAATTCTTTCTCCAATTTCTTTGACCGGTGGTATTCTGAATTTATTTTTGAGCTTTTTTTTCTTAAAAATTTTTAGTACCACTTTAATATCTATCGCAAGTAATAAATGACCACTCCATTTGCTCTAATATTATAAACATGTTTACCTCTGAAGCCTTTATGGAAGGTCTTTATTTGCTTATCAAATATTCGTGTTTTTTTACTTTTTGTACCTACGCTAATCATGTTCTGCGATGCTGCACCCTTTATAGAACTCACCAATAATAATAATGATGAAGAAGAGTATATTTTTAGAGATGTATTAGGCTCTAAATTTGAAGGTTATAATGGTATTTTTCTACCAATCAATACTCTGATTGAAATTGAGTTGAGAACTAAGTTTTACTCTATGGAAATCGTGGTATATTTTATAGAATAATACACTCTTCAAAATAACTTTATTGTCTTTAAGCACAAGACTAAAAAATTTTCAGATGGTACTTGTAGAAAAAGGGTATTTAAGTGTGATTTGGGAGGAAGATATGTTGAAAAACATTCAAGACCGATATTAGGTAAAGAAAAGAGCAAAGAAAGCAAAAAGCAAGGCTATATGTAGTAAGTAAATGTTAATAGACGATTAAATTTACTAATAGAAACTGTAACATCATTTAATAATGAACACAACCATGAGATTTCTATTGAAACTGTGAAATTTTCTACCACTTACAAAAATTTTCTGAAGAAATCATGAAACAAATAGAATTTTATGTTGTGTATGGCCGATGTGATGCAGGATTAATTAGAAATCTCCTTTAACCAAAGTATCCTGATTGTGTGTTTTTTACTCAAGACCTAAGGAATACAATTCAAAAAATTAAATGAGAAAAGGAATTGAATTTAGGAGAAACAGCATCTCTATTAATAAAGCTTCTTGAATTGCAAGCTAACGATCCTGCATGGTTTGTAAAGCTATTAATAGATAACACAAGTAACCAGTTAGTTATTATTTTCTAGATATTACCAGAGCAGCATGAAAGGTGAACAAAATTTTATGATATCATTATTCACGATAATACTGCAAGAACGAATAAATATAACTATCCGTTAAGTCTCTTCATATTAATCGATAACTATAATAAGAGTAGGTTGGTAGTTCAAACATTCATGCAGAATGAAAGACAAGAATCATACGAATGGTTACTTCAATGTTATCTTGAAGCATGTGAAATTCCTCTATTAACTTTTGTTACTGATGCTAATTTCACAATGATTGCAGCCATTTCTATAGTATTTCCAGAGACTCATCATATGCAATGTTTATACCATCTCTATCAAAATCTTCCAAAAAACTTTCGTTCATATTTAGAATTATCACTTTATTAGGAATTCCTTAAAGATTTTAAAGGAATTCAACGCTCTTATTGCGAAAATATATTTGAAAAATGAACCAAAGGGATAGTTGAAAAATATGAGGCAGGAAGCAAATATATAATCACAATGCTATTGAATCAAAAGCATACTTAGGTAAAATACTTTACATTACGACATTTTACAGTGGGAACGCAATCTTCACAGCATGTGAAATTAGAAAATATATTAATAAAAAAGGTCATGCAGTCAAGTTTCTCTCTCTTACAAGTTCAAGAATCTCTTGAAAATCGGTTAGAATTTGAGTCAATTAACAATCATTATTCAATCTAAAAAGCTTTAACATTACAGTACACACAACCTTTCGTCATACAAATATTCTTTAGTAGCATTGATAGTATCATAAATAAATATCTCACACAGCTGATTCACAATGCATATTATAAACAAATGTGTCAATCTGTATGCTTTCATGTACATCAAGTACAATTTTCTGAAATTCCAGTATCAGATGATGGTTTATTTGAACCTTTCTTTAATAAAGTAGAAGATTCTGCCAAATCTCTTATTGAAACTGATGAGGATCGAGAGCTTGACTTGAAGTCTTTGATTTCGATAGTTAGTTTTAACAATATTTTAGAAGTTTGGAAGATTTCTCGATACAATTACCTGAAATTCTATCAACATGTAATTCTACTTAATACTGAAGAATACTTATATACTTGTTTTATGCTTGTCACTTATGGTATTATATGCAGGCATTTCTTTAAAGTGTTTGTTGAATCTTCTAATGCATATTTTCATTTGACATTGATTTCTAAATGTTGTATAAGAATGAATATATTGATTCAAGCGATATCTGTTCTAGTGAGATAATTACAAGTAATGGCCAAAATGATCAAAATGATGCGCAGATCACTTTAGAATTTGCCTAAAAATACATCATAAATGATCTTTCAGAAAAGTATTTCAAGCAAATATCATGAAATCAATTAAAATTTAGTACTCTAATGGGCAAAGCCAAAAAGGCAATTCAATTTGCAATTCAAAATAATGATGAAGAACTGATTCAGTTTATCAAGAATTTTAATAAAAGAAAAGAAGCTCAACTAATTCAAGCAGAATCGATTAAGCAACAAAAAGCTTTAGCGGATAGAAAAATGAATGACAATCAGATCCTTTATAATACAAAAGGAGTATTGATCGATTCTAATCAGATCTTAGATCTATTGAAACGTCAGCCTAAAGAAAGACCACCAACAAAACGGTTGAAGCTATCTGTTGAAAAATCAGATTTAAAAGACAAAGGTGGAGGTGAACAAGCAATATCTGATAGATGTCGTAAGTGGCTTATGTGAATAATATGATTATTATCGTAATACTTGTTCTAAGGGTTAGGTTACAATACTTAATCACATGTTTATAGTGTAAGATTAAAGTGTTATTTTATTAGTTTCACTTAGTAATAGCATGAGATTGTGTTAATCTTATAGTAATAGCATATTTGCGATATTTTAACTTTAATTGTTACATTTATTTAGTACAGAATTTAAACAATAAATATTAATAAATGCTATTTTTTTTATAATAATTGTTGTTAATAAAAAATGCATACAAAAAAAATTATAAGGAGTGAAAAATAATTTATCTCACCTAGGGTGAGGAATAAATTTACTTTTTTTTTTATAATAATTGTTGTTAATAAAAAATGCATATAAAAAAATTATAAGAGATAAAAAATAATTTATCTCACTCAAGGTGAAAAATAAATTTACTTTAATTATATTTAAATATTATTATAATTAATAAATGATATTTATTTATTTATCATTATTATTATTATTTTTAATTTTATTTTTATTACATAACTTTGATTTTTAGAATTCATTATATAAAAGCTAACCTTATAGAATAAGAAATTAATTTGAATAAATAATAATTAAAAAAAGAAATTCATAAATTTCTTATTTTTATTCTTTTATATTATTAATAAATTATTTATTTATTTATTTTTTAGGTTTATTTACTTTATAAAAAATATATTTATATTAGTTGTAAAATATTAAAATAATGATTTTTTATAATTTAATATGATTTAATTTATTTAAATATAATTATTAAAATAAATTTATATTTTTTAAAAAAATATTTTGATCAGGATAAAATCATAAAATTATAGAGGGTAATATTAGAAAAAGGAAGGAAAGGGTAAGAAAGATTTTTAGACTTTTTAAAGGCATAAAAAAGATAGATCAAGCTAAATTTTTTTACGTTTTTACGCATCAAATATTTTATAACTGATTATAAATGATATTGATTTTATAATAGCTTAAGTTTTCCTTTAAATGACATTTTATTTTGTGATCATAACATTTTCAATACATTTAGTTTTATCAAGAATATATATACAGTGTGAGAAAAATTTTCAAAAGAAACAAAGGAGACAAGAAATTAAATGATATTGCATCATTTGATATTTTATAATGCGTATTTATAAAAAATACAGGTTAACCTTATTAGAATTATATGAAACTATCTCATCCTGATTATTTACTAATACTAACTTATTCTGTAAAATGCTTTCTATATCAATATTATACTTTAATAAAATATTATATAAGGAATTTTCAATCTTCTTAGCAAAGTTTGTGAAAACTATTATTAGGCTTCCCTTTATCTTGTAACATTCTAGCTTTTGTTCAGTTAGTTTGAAAAAAGATTGATCATTAATCTTTTTGCGTAGAATTTTAAAATGAACTTCATTTAGTTGTAAATTTTTTATCTTTCTTAAAAAAGTTATGAGTTCTTCTATTTTATACTTATTAATTACATCAACAAGATTATAAATATCTTGATCTTTATAGTCTTATTTATAGTTATAAATATCTCGATCTCTTTCACAATCTTATTTATAGTCAAGAACATTCTGATTTCTTTCATGATCATGATTACAGTCATGATCATGGTCACAAATATCCTGCTTTTTCTTATGAAATTCAAAATTATTATGATCAATAGGATCGATAATTATGACAGAGTTATTGCAAATAATATTTTTAGAAATAATATTATTAATACTTTCTAGTATCTAATAATGTAAAAAAAAGTGAGAAAGAACATGATCTAGACAGCAAAACTAAAATAAACCTATCAAGTAATTTATTTTTCTTCTTATTTCAAAATAAAATGAAGACAAAAATTTTATATTCCTTGATGAAAATTTAAGTTTTCAATCTTTATCCCAGTTAAAAAATTTGCTTAATAAAATTATATTGTTAAAGTAGATGAAGCTGTAACTAAAAGGAAAAATAATTATACATCAGCAAATATACAAATTTTAAAGAGGAGTAATATTATTAAATTATTTATTGTATTCATCCTAATCCTATATCTTTGCGTATATATAGGTAAACAGAATGGGTGTTTCTTTTAGAAGCTATTTTTTTAATTTTACTGAGGTTAAGGATTGAATATCTCTGCATATCATTACAGATCATTCAGCTTTACTGCAATAATCTTTTGATCTATATTTGAGAAAGGCTGAAAGAAAAAAAAATTATAAACATATTTTTAAAATAAAGGATTTATGAGTCGCATATTTCACAAACTAGAATGGATAAAAAGACACGCTTACAATAGATCTGAAAGAGTAATATATTTTAAGAAATAAAAAATGGATAAAAAGACAAATTTGCGAAAGCTCTAAGAGAGTATGCATTTCAGATTTGATGAAATAGATAAAGAAGCATATTCTCACAAAGAAAAAAAACTATGCATCATAAATAAGCATTCATTTATCATTAGTTATTACTAAAGTCAAAAAATCTGTACAAAAAAGAATATTATCATAAAAAGTAGTAAAGTTAGACACCTTAATATGGTAACTACGTGACAATTTATATTATTAATTATTTAGTCTGAATTTTTAAATTTAAAGATGAATGGGATAGGTATTAATCAGAATAACTATACAACTGATATCTTTTTGTTTACGCTAAAAATTTTCATAAGAGACATATCATAGCAAATTTTGATATACTATATGATTTTTGACTTTTTTTAAATTCTGGATAATCTCAGTGTATTCAAAATGAATAGAAGTTATTTAATTTTATTTTTCATTCAGAGATTCTCAAATAATTGAGCTCTTCAAATTTAAAGATTTTAAGTGTAATTAAGATAGGTTATATATAAAAGATAACTCTTTTAAAGAAAAAGCTAGAATAGATTTGTATTGTTTGAAAAATTAGGTAGGTATAATCTGCAGTTACATGTATAGAAATATTATATTCACAAGCTATATTCTAAACTTTGTAATTTATCTTCGCATGATACCTCTTGTAATTGATAATCAAAATTTTAATTAAATAATTCAGTATTTACCATATATCATTACATTTGCATATTTCTAATGATATCCTCTAGCATAAACTTGATGTTCTTTGCAAACTATCTCAATATTTGATTTTCTGATTTTAGTTATGCGTTATGCTTCAGCTAAGGATGAAAATTCTCAAGTAAAACTATTATCAAAAATCTGCTTGACAGCATGTTAAAGCTTAAGCCTGAAACACATAGTATGTTATATATTGTCTTTATGTGAACACCATTCAAGATTAGAAGTTTTATTATTAGTAGAATTCTTGTCAATATGATTTACATATTCTTTACCTTCTTCTTTAAGACAAAATGCTAATAATATTAAGCGGTAAATATAATATCTTTCTTAAGGACTCTAAGATATTCTGCATCTAAAGATCCTTAAAAGATTAAACCATTAGGTAACTGAACCCTCTCTAGAGATGAAACTTTAAATTTTTGTGAATTAAGTTTTATTTCTTTTAAAAATTTTAAAATAATTATATTTTATAAAAAGTTATATATTATTATTTTTTATTAAATTTATATAATAATTATTTAATTATTCAAAATAGTTTTTTTTTTAAGAATTTATTAAAATTTATTATATTTTTATACTATTTGATAAAAAAATATTATTATATTTTTAAAATTTTTAATTTAATTGATTATAATATTTTATTAAATAAATTAATGATTTAGATTATTAAATAATTTATAAGATTTTATTTTATATATTTTTAATTATTAAATTCTAATTAACTTAAAAATTATTAATTATTTATTAATAATAAATTTAAAGATTAATTTTTTTGTATTTTTATACTTTAATTAATTAATTAAAATTTAGTTACTATTAAAAATAGTTCCTATAATTATTAATAAATTTCAATTGAATTACAATTTAATTATGCTATAAGAAAATTTAATTGTCACTAATTGTAATTCAATTACATTATTTTTTTAATTGCAGTATTTATTAATAAAAATTAGTACTATTTAATAAAGATAGTATTAAATCTATTTCAACTATATATTTAAATGATTATAAATAATTAATTAATAGTTTAAATAATATCTTTTTACTTTATAAAATTATTTTTTTATTTACTGTATTTTAAATTTTCAACATCTTTTAACTTTTATTTATAATTAAAATATTTTAATAATTATTACTTATTTAAATTTATTTAGATTAACTAAAATAACTAAAAAAAATAAAATAAAATGAAAAAAAAAGAAATAAAACAAACAAAACAAAAAAGTGAAATTAAATTTTTAATTAATATTTTTTATTAAAATTTTATTAAATTTAGAATATTAATATAAATATTATATTAAAAAAATTAAAAGAATTAAAATATTGATATAATTTATATTACTAAATTATTATATAAAGAAATTAAATTCATTTTAATGTTTAATAGAATTTTTTAAAAAAAACTAAAAAATAATTAAAAACTAATAATTTTTTTTTTTGCAATTTAATAAAAAATATCTTTAAATTAAATTATTATTATATTATTATATCTGTAAATCTATTTTAAAATAAAACTATTTTTTATAAATCCTATTTAATACATATATATCTGATATTATATTTTATAAACATTATATTTATTTTTTTGTGAATCATAAAGAAAGCTAGTATTATATTTTTACATAACAATTAACAATGTTAACTTTTGATACTCAAGATTTCTCTGAATTATTTATTATGGATATTTAGTTCTTAATGATCAAATTGGCTTCTTTAATTTTATTGATTTTATTAAAGAAATTGTACCTCCTCCTTATTTAATAAAACTCATCACCTCATCAATAACAACTTGTTAATAATTAGCCTCTTTTCTTTCATTTACTATTATGCATTCTTCAAAATTAAAAAATTTTAGCTTAAACAATGCATAACTATTAAACAATTTAAAAGCCTTAATAATATATTACTAACTAATCGAAAATACACTTTATTAATATTGGCTTCTCTCATCTAATCCCCACTCTTTTATAATTCCATATTATTTTCTCTTCTCTTATAGATATGATACAAACTGGTCAAATTTTTGGATTAGTAACAACCAAACCCCCTATACTAGATGGTTAAACATATTCTAAATTAATTTGAGTAAGTTAGTCTGAAATGGTGTAAAATTGATTTTAATTTAGTTTCATTAACTAGATAGAAATTTTTGTACTCTCTCTTTTGTAATTTGTAATTTTGTAAAATTTTACTTTACTTCTAATAAAGATTATACAAAGCTACCACACATTAAAAAAAAAAACAAAAGCTAATATTATGTTTAAACATTTTTTTAATACTTTTTGTAATTTAGCTTATTCATATACTTTATAACAAACAAAATAAAACATTTGTAAAAATAACTTTATTTATAAAATTTGATTTTATTTTTCTTTTCATGAATGCTTATGAATTTAAATATAAAGCAAATCTTGAAACTTTTTTAGAAAGGAATATAAATATGATGTTGTTTTTTACAATAATTTTTACAAAACATTGATAAGAATTTATAAAACAAAGTTATATATAATTGTTAAAATTTATTTTCAAGTATATAAGAAAATCAAATAAAAATGAATTGTCCCTTCTATCTAATCCCTTTTATGTAAATACATATCTGTTTGTCAACCAAACTTGCTTCATTTCCATACATACGACTCATATATATTAACCAAAATTCGCTAGTGACATAATGCAAAAAAAAAAATATAGCTATTACTGCGGAAATCGAAAGAATATTAATGGTAAACTGGCTACACACAGAAGCGAAGTAGTTTTATCGATAATCAATGACGTGACCAAACGACTTGATGAAATGGAAAGAAGATTGGTAGGGATACTGTAAAAGCTTTTATCATGGCGGAAGGGGAACCGAAATATAGAATAGTAAAGTTAATTAGCAAATGGTTAGATAGTAAAGAAAAAAAAAAAAAATACTAGTAGTTTAGAGTGGCGGGGAAAGAACGCCATCATATAGATTAGGGCACGGCCAGCATTTATGCTTTATTCCTCTCCTTGAAACCCTGCTTCGATTGATTATTAAATTTGTAAATTCGTGTTTTATTATTAATGCGAAAAAGTAATTAAGCCGGAAAATAAAGCATATCGGAAAATTATTGCCGAATGTAATTTTCCCCGACTATATTTAGTAAGAGATCTTATTTATTAGATTTTCAACGACGATTCCCCTTCATTAAGATAGCCTTATGACATGCGTTTGATATCCAGTATGATGAACTAATGTTTCCTACGATGCGTTAGACCATTTATGTGGAACTTTTTTCGGTCGATGTATGGAGAGAGAGTGAGCAAGTCCTCGTTAGGATTGCCTAATTAATATAAAAAAAAAACATGTTAGTTGAATTCAAGCTGTTAATTTTTTTAAAGCTCTTGAAAAAAAATATGATGACAATTTTATAGCGACACTGAATTTGAGAATTTGATCAAAGAAACTGATTTGATAAATGAATGCAATGTCAAAAGATTCTGTTAGAAGTAAGACATTCATATTTCGGATTTTAGAACATATAAATTCCATTTTTTGCATCGTCAATGCTCATCAACTTTAGCACCATAATAAGCTTCGTGATTTTATTCAAAATAGTTTCAGTGAACCACAAACTTTTTCTAGACTTCGTGATAACATTTTTGAAGAATTATGCCCACATACAATTGCAAAGAGATGGTATATTAAAGGAGTGAAAACAATAACAACATCGGCAATGTATGAAGAAATGAACGGATTGAAATACAATTCCGCCAGATTTTTCGTAAAATTATAATTCTTTAATAGATGATATACTTCAGGACTCTTACCAAAAATATTTGAATCAACCGATCCTTGTATTTTTTAACCATCATGAAAACTCCTTAGATTTATTTTAAAATATAGTATCAACAACATTGGTTATTTCGCAATTATGTAGGTAAAGGGGTTGGAGAAAATCAAACAATATTATTAAATTAGTGGTACCATCCGACAATTTGATGTATATACTATCAATATCTTTGTTAGTTCTGGTTATTCATCATGGATCGATCATTTACCACACGAGAGCAACTAGAACGATGAAATGTTTTGTGAGAAATAATATTGGATAATTATGATTTGCAAAGGACCAGTATTTTTTTTTTTGTTTTAGATTACTTTCGTTATGTATAACTCATTAATAGTTTCTAATAAAAATAAAGATCATATAAAGATTTTTCAATAATGGTAGTTTCACATTAAAATAAATTAAATACAAGTAATATTTCTTGTATTTTATTTAGTAAAATTAAATTTGATTTTTAATATTAACTTTTAAAAATTATATAATTATCCTTCTATATCATTTAACATTTAAACTTTAAATAAATAAAAGCATTAACTAACTATATTAAAGAAAATTTTAATCCACCATTAATTTTCTAAAATTATACAAAATGTTTGTAAAATATAATATAACTCATAAATAAATAATTTCTTAAAAAAAAATATCATAAATAAGGTAAACATTTCTTATTCTATTCCATAATTGTTATTTCTAAATATTTAATCTTTTCTCCTTAAATGTTTTCTATTATACTAATTATACTATTCCTATTTTATTATTACTCTAACATTATAATACATCTTTTTTTTTATTTTATTTTATTTTAAAATTCTATCTATAAAAAAAAAAAAAATATTGTTTTAATACAGTTCCGGTATAATAATTTATATTTCCCAAAATTTCATTATTATTTTTATCCTTTTTTTTTTAACTTATTCAAATGCATAAAAAAAAATTCTTTCTTTCCTCTAGAGTTCTGATCTCGCCTTTATACTCATATACCTAGGATGCCTCATTAAACGAAATAGATTACTTCTATTTTTCACATATCTGAAAATTACATCAATATGTTGTTGATCAAAATGTCTTTTTGAAAAGCTAAGAGAATGATAGGTTGGTGCCATATTTTCCAAAAAATTCGCCAAACTAGCTGGCGAAAATAAAAAATCTCTAAATACCAATTCTCTGAGTCCAGTTGGTAGATGTTTAGCAATATCCTCATAATTACATATAGGATGCACTCTGTCAGTAAATGTAATATATAATATTTCTAATTTTAACGAGACACCCAAGAAAGTCAGTAATGCATTAAATGCATTATTATCACCATCCTTTAAAACCAAGCGACAATCTGTGAGATTTTGACAATGCCTTGTCATGACGGAAAGTACTGAAGGCAATTCAGATTGAGGAGTTATTCCTGCTAATCGTAAACTTTGTAATTGATTATTAGAATCTCTTATCATTTTAATTACCATATCAGCGGCCACTCCTGGATGCACATAAATTTCCAATCTCTGAAGTTGTCCAAAATTTACTTTATATAAACTGTACATCTTTCCCGGTCCTAATCCAACGCATTTCCATAATACTAAATGTCGAATATTTTTGCATTCAGATAAAGCCTCTAAGGAAGGACAATCAATGAAATTACATCGATTAAATTCTATTGTATTTAGATGATTAGGGTAATTAGCCAGTGCTGTTAAGAGTTCTGGTTGAACTTTGTTTGTGAATACCTTGTCTTCTGGTCTAAAAACCAACCTAAAGTGTTCAAGTTCGCGTTGAACGTACACTAAATTATGTAACATGTTCATGGAATTTACCGAAATTTCCACGTCAATGGTAAGTTGTTTCAGACTATGACATCTTTGAGATATTGACCATAAATCTATATCATGATAATTCCCTTCAACTTGCAATGAAACTATACGAGATAAACAAGTGTTTGTTCCCGATAAGGATCCCGTGATAGGGATATTATTGGAAACTCCGGACCAAAGTATCAAAGTTTCAAGGATAGGGCATCTATTCATTAATAATTGAAGGAAACTACTTGCAATTAATTGTACGCAAATATCTCTATAATGTTTCTGAACATCCGCCGATGCTGTTGCCAAAAGCCAATTTTCTATCGTTTCAAACATGGTTTTACAACACAAATGTCGTAAAAAAATTGGGTAATCGAACGTTGCACGTTGTGGCAGCGGAACCTCTCTGGGATATGTCATCCAATCTTGCATCGATTGTAGTTGATCCTGGTCTTCTATACACGAAAAATATGTTCGTAAAAGACTAGCATCAGCTTTATCTTTTAACAGTTTAAAAGGTTCCCTCCATAAAATTGGTACAACAATCCTGCACCACGATCTATTCACTAAAAGACAAGAATGTAATGAACTTCGTTCTCCCCTGAGATATTCGAAGATTCTAGCAAGACATTCGGGTATCATCAACGGTGAATTGATCATCTCCGTTGAAGAAACTTGGAAGAAAATAATTAACTAAATGTAAGTAATATAGGAAATGATATTGTAAATGTAAAATCGAATTATAAGCAAATACATGTCCTTGCACACCTTCTTCGATAATCATCATATTTGAAGAAAATTGGCCAACCAGTTGCATTTGTTGATAAACCTGTTGATTCATTGTCAAAACACCTATTAAAATCTAGTTATAGTTATTATAAATATAGAATGTATTTTATTAAATTCATTAAAAATTTAATAAAAAAGTCCCCACCTCTTACACAGCATTCAACTTGACTAGATTTCCTTTCCCTTCTTTTTTTTTTTAAAAAAAATAAAATAAAATAATGATACATTAATAAAATAATGCATATCGTTGAATTCGAAAATATAAAATACCTTCTAAATATATTGGAACTTTGTTCTTTGAAATTCCCTTATTCGAATAAAACCAATACCAAATAAAAGTTTGAGCTTTTCGGGTAAATAAATTTTCTTTTTAAAGGTAACCCAAAAGGGTATTTGCTTTAGCTCTATCACCAAAAGGAAATAAACGAAGTGGTTAAATAAATATTTTTTTTTTTTTATTTATCAATATGAAAAAAAAAAAAAAAAAACTAACGAAAATTACGTAATGCACCTTTACTTGATAAATCTAAGTCAAAGTCCGAGTATTGTTGCAAGTTTACGTGGTATTCAATGTGAAACATATCGTTTTAATCTTCGCATACTTTTCCGATTCGGGAAACGTCAAAGTTGTTGTCATTTTGATTATCATGATTCTGGTATAAATTGGTAAGATCATTTGCATAACCGAATAAATTATTAGTTTGACCACTAAGTATATCACATGAATTCAGTATCACAATTCGTTTCTTCATAACTGAAGTAAATGTCTAAAGTTTACCAATTGTCAGTAGGCAAGACCCTTACCGACTATCACCGTTTTACATTTGGACAAATATTAAGTTAATGAGAAAGTTAGGTGAGAATATTTGTTTGTCCCAATTCTATTTGGAATTATAGTTAAATTTTTTTAAAAAATCTTCAAATTTTTGATTATTCACCTTTTTCCGTGATCCATTTATTTGATCCGCATAGTTAATTTGATGAGATAATTCATATTATTTAAAAAAAATCATCATGAAGATTGAATTCTCAACGAGAGATGTACTGATACGAAATGTTGGTAATTATGATGTGAAGATTTATGTTGGTCAAGGAGAATGTTCAAAAATGTTTTGGGCACATACGGTTATTTTGCGTACTCGTTGTGAGTACTTTAAAATAGCTTTGTCCAACACATGGGCTACACAAGAAGATGGGTTGACTGTCTTCGTAAAGCCAAACATTCACCCAACGGTTTTCGACTCCTTATGCAGGCAATGATTCTCATACGACTTTTTATTTTGATTTTGTCGATTTGTGATTGTAATCTTGTATTTTTAACGAAACTTCTCTTTATAGTTATATATATTCTTGTCAGCTTTGTTTCGTTGAAGAAGATGAAGGGCCGGATGTATACGATCTGTTGTTCGCTTGTGATGAATTGATGTTGCATGAACTAGCGGAACATATTCAAGAATATCTTATTCAGCGTAAACCCGAATGGATGAATGAAAACCTAGTGACAATCCTTCGATCAACTTGGTTGATCCCTACGTGTACTGCGATTAAACAATTTTGTGTCGAAAAGATTTGTGATGATCCCTGGTTATTATTTGCGTCAGATCAATTTTATCGTGTTGAAGAAGAAATATTGATAGCTATACTTCAGCGAGAAGATTTAAACCTCCCAGAAGTGTACATATGGAATAATGTAATAAAATGGGCTACAGCTCAATTGGATGTAGAATTAGATACTGATGTATCAAAATGGAATTTAGAAGGTTTCGTTTTATTGAAAGGAAAGATGAATAGATGCCTTCCTTATATAAGGTTGAATAATATTGATATGGAAGAATACTATCGTAATGTTCGACCTTTTAAGAACATCTTCTCAAAAGAAATGCAAGAGAGAATTGAAGAATACTATTTTACTGGTAGAAAATTGGATATATTTTATAATCCTAGATTACCGTTTATTATTGACTCCTGTCTGATAAAGTATGAACATGCGGCACTTATCTCTCATTGGATTAATCGAGGAGAAGGAAAGGTGGCAACGAGAGAAAAGAATCCATTCAATTTTAGGTTGTTGATACGTGGGAGTGATCATGGATTTTGTGGTGAAGTCTACGATCGAATCAGATTTGAATATCCCGCCTTATTAGTTTTAATACTGACTGAAACCGACGAAATGATTGGAGGTTATCAAAGAATAAATAGTAATTATTGGAGAATGTTTGGATATGATTATGATCGGGAAAGTTTTTTGTTTCGTATTAACCGTGGGAATGTTAAAAGATCCGTGATTAGTCGCGTTGTACATCCTACACACGCTGTATACAATCAATCAGGATGGGGGCCATGTTTTGGAGAAGGAGATTTGTGGTTAAAACGTCATTTTCGTGATCCCACAGAATGCGTTTGCAAGAAAGCTTCTTATGAAGCTCGGATTGCACATGATGAATCTTTCATAGTAAGAGAGTATGAAATATTCGAAGTCACACCTGCCTGAAAAGAAGGAATATCGCAGGTATTCATGTTTTACATCATAAGTTATCTGTTTCGCTCCATATTAATTATTGATTTAATACTTTCATATTATTCTTTTTTATACCATCTTTATTGAGTATACATATTCATTTGATGAAATTCGTTAATAAATTGGCGAATTTGAAATATTTTTATTTGGATATTATATATATATAGTTCAATATAGAATAGATTTATAGATCTATTAAAAATTTGTTTAATATATAAATTCATCAAATATGATTAAAAAAATATAAAGGAGCTTTTATTTGATTCATTGATTTTAGGTAAGTGTTTAAGTGTTGCTTTTGAATTATTTATATATATAAAAATAAGTATTAGTTTACGTGTTTTTAATTAAAGGAATTGTAAATAGTTTTTTGATTTCCACCCTTTTTTTTTTAAAAAAAAAAAAAGTATTTATACTTATATTATATGTGATAAAACATTGATTTAAACTAAAGAATAATTTATTGATTATTGATTGCATTTTTTAATTCATTTATTAAATGCATGATACTTTAACAAGTTATTTTTAATATAAGAATTAGATGACACATTATGATTCTTCAGTAGTTTGTAAATCTTTCCTCATAGCATAAGCGTCTTCCCCATCCGCATAATACTTGTCTTCAATTTTATGAATCCTAAATACAAAAATTATTTTATTTCTTTATAATTTAAAAAAAGATTATCCAAAACCAATAAACATCCTTTTGATCTAAATATATAAAATTACCTAAATTTCAAAGTGTCTTTATATAAATTTAAAGCTGCTCTATTGCTTTTACGAACATGTAATGAAACATATTGGGCATTAAATACTTCCACCATATTTCTCTCTAATATAAAAAGCCAGATATTTAATTAAACGGTTAGGTTTAATAGGAAACTTATACCTAAATATTATTACGTACGAGCTTGTGTCATTAATTTCTCCGCGACACCCAATCTACGATATGTCCTCATTACCGATAGCGATGTAATATGACCATGCGGTGCTTCTTCCGGATCTTCTTCCCTAAATAAACAATACTTTCAACACCATTTTTCATTTTAAACATTCATTTGGTTTTTTGTTTTGTAAAAAGATCATTACATCTTGGCTAGTACATAACCAACAATTCTTCCTTTATGATCTTCGGCGACGAATGATAATTGCGGCCAAGACAAAGCATGATAAAAATCTATTCAAAAGAAAAGAAAAAAAAAAAAAGACAAGTTTATAACTTGACATATTAAATAATCTATCTACATTGAACAAAAAAAAAAAAATAAATTTCACCTTTACTGACAATATTTCATTTGATAATTTTCGGGTAAATTCATTATATTACAATTTTGCATAGCAAGTAAATCCTCGGACTATATTTAAATAAAAGAAATTTAATTAACCTAATTTCCTTAAAATTTAATCTTTATAAATCAAACACATTTTATTTTTCTTCCTTCTTTACCATCGCTTGTCTGATATTCATCGTTCCTCAATTATTTTTTAATAGAAGAAAGAAGATTTGATTCAAATTTTATCAATCAAAAAAATCAAGTATACAGTCGAACCCTATATAGTCACCTCCTATATAGTCACTCCTAAAATATAGTCACTCCTAAATTTGTCACATGCCAACCGTTCTTAAGAATTCTTGAGAACAATGCTAACTTCGGCCTTATCCTAGTACTAAATCCGGCAAATAAATCGCCGACAACTAAACTAAACTCAACTCGTTCATAAAGTTTGTACTATAAAACTGTAGTATATGGATATATTATTGTACGCCAAATAGAAGGCTTTGGAATGGCTATGAAAGAATGATCGTGGTTAATTATTATTGGAGACTAAAATAGGGATTTCTCATACTAGGATTTTACGTATAAATAGAAAGGTTGAACAATCAATTTGAACAGATATAAATATTTTTGTTCCTTCTTTTATTAACGCATATTTTTTAATCGTCAAAGGAAAAAAAAAAAAATAAAATAAAAAAATAACCCTTTTATAATAACACATTCTTTTTTTTAAAACTTTTAAAATGGTATGTTTGGCAATAAATTTTGTTTGCTCGTCTAAATTAATAGGCTCATTCATTTGTCTATATTTAGGCCGGAACTCCAAAAATTCGCTCAAGAAATAAGGCTTACATGGAAAATATTCATCACAGAGGCCAAGTCACTGCTTTGGTATGTTGTTTTATCATTTAAATAAAAAGTGTCGGGTTAATCTCTTAGTGACATATCTTTGGTTCAAGAGCAAAGTACCCTGACATTTTCCGTGCAGTTCATAAATTTTTTTTTGTGACGAATTCCTTTCTGACTGATTTATATTGTGCTTTCCATTCCAGAAAAAGGAAAAGAAAGAAAAATCATCCATTGGTTACTTCACCTTAGGAATCATTCTTTTTGTAGTAGTCGGGTCTACTATCTTTGAGATCTTGAAATTGATTTAAAGACCGAACTTTACTTTTTAAAGTTCCAAAATATTTATTTAATCCATTTTTTTTTTCATTTTTAGTTTATTAATGGCACGATGTTTAAAATAATAATAACAGCGTTTCCCCAACTTTATCCTTTAATCTTATAATTTGAGAATAGTTATAGAATCATTATAATTATAATTAGAACAATTAAGAAAGATTTTTTAATATTTTAATAAAATTCAACCCTTTCACATTATTAATGTATTTATTTAAAAGTTTATTAAAATTAGAATAAATTATTGTTCGTGTATTTATTACAATAAATTGGATGGTCGGTCTATATTTAAACCATTGAATCATCGGCTGGTTGATGCGAAGTATTACCAGTTTCGGCACTCTCGAGACTATCATTATCGACTGGTAATAAATCTTTGGTATCATCAACCAACGTTTTATCACCCTTTGTTACCGTAATTTCAAATTTCGAAGAATCAGAAAATGTAAATTTGGCTTTATATTCCGGTTTCGATTTTATTAATCGAATTGTAAATGGTTTATCTGATATCGCCGAGTGTAAAGATGGATAATATTGATGATATGCAAAGTATGATAAAAGGAATCCTAAAAGAAAGAATTTTATGAGAATTTTGTGCGAATATTTTTTTTTATAAAATAAAAGGGCGGGAATGACAATTTACCAATTAGACTACCAGCAAAGACGTCATGCCAATGATGACGATAATCTTCGGTACGTGAGATAGCAATAAGGATCGCTATGACTAAAGGTGAAACTACGACGAATCCTTTATATGTGTAACCTTTTTGGTCAAATACGTGTAATTTTCCAGCAAGGTATAATGACAAGAATCCCATGCCAGCAAACGAAGCTAATTAAAGGAAGGAAAAGATTTATTAGATGTTATAATTATCATCACGATAACTGTATTGATAAATTGATCCTTACTTGAGGCATGTCCGGATAAGAAACTTTTGAATCCGTCATTCAATAATTCCCTCCTAGTACATATCGTAGAATTACTTAACCCATAAACAGGAGGATCGGCTCCACCTGCAATTGGTTGGCATCTATCGATAAAATCAGGCCTTGGTCGACCGACTGTATTCTTAAATACCGCAGTAACCATGAGCGTCAATGTAAGGGCCATTAATAACCCTAGAGAAGCATGATGCCAATCGTGCATGTTTTTCTTGATTGCAAGAGCCACAAAAGTTATGATAATAAATGGTGCCACCACCACAACAAGCTGTATCAAGTGAATTAAAATTTTAATTTTAAATTTTAAAAAGGTTTTAAAATCTTTAAAACTTAGTAAAAACTTACGCCGCATAACCACATTGGTACTCTTTCTTTTACAGCAAAAGGAAACTGGATCGTTTTGTCTTCCAAAGAAAAGGATCGATGATATGGTTCCAATTTGTCTACGCCATAGAATGTGACAAGGAAAACAAGGCAAAGAATCCAGCTAAATAATAAAGTGTTCGTTAATTGATTAAATACAATATCAGTACATTAATTTGTAAAATTCTTACTCCAGAGCATAAGCTTTAAGAAGTTGACTCTTAGTGAATCGTGCCATTTTTGCTTAGTGAAACGTATATAAAGCAGTCAAATATTTTCTCAATAAAGTTCTTGGAGAGAACGATTTTTTTTTGTTTCACTTTATTTCCCTTTTTTCTTTTTTTTTTTTTTGGCAAAAGGGTTACATTTTTAATATTTTTCGAATATTCTTATTTGTTGTTATAATTTGTAGCCACAATGGGAGGTAAACCAGTGATATCCTAGTTTATTATTTTCCTTGTGAATTTGTGAAATCAAAATCCCAATCAAGTTATTAATAGTTTGATATTATTAATCTATAAAGAGAAATTCTTTATGCATAACCACAGCCTACGTTTTACTAAATGGGTTATATTACAAAAATATTATGTAACGCGAGTCGAATTCATCCGCATATATATAAGCCCAATATTTTAAGTTTCTTTTATTACTAAAACCGTAAAAAGAAAGTTACTGATAAGGAAAAATAGTTTTTTTTGCATCAATATATTTTTAGAAATTTTCTTTAATAATAATACTTTTAAAAATACTCTAGAAAATTATTTCAGAAACATTTTTAAAAAAAATTATTCGAAATTTTTAAAATTAATAATTAATATTATAAATTTTATTAAAAAAAAAAAATGTTATTAAATATAAGTTTGTATAATAAAAGAATAACTAATTAAAAGTTAGCTAACTTAACAAAATATATGTGATTAGAAATCATATTAATATACTATGTTATATTAGATGATAAAGATAATAAAATAAAAATAATTATTTAGAAAATCTGAAACTTTCTTTTTATTATTAATCAATTTATAT